ACATATCGAAATTAATTAAATCAAATTGTTTAAGTGCTATTTTCAAAAGTCAATAACTCGGAAACGGTTGGTTTGAGGTACATTGAATGTATTTCGATTTTTGCTTAGAATTGAAAGAAGAACAGAAATATGCAATAATATACAGGGGGTTTCATTTAAAAAAATTAAACTTTCATTTACCACGACTTTATGATCGACCCTGTATATTTAAATTTATTACCCGATAATAGATATTTATAAACCCTATAACTTTTATATTCAACTTTTTGTTCCCCATTGTTCCAATCGCCTTTTTATTCTTCCTATATATTACCTAATAATCGAGCGTTTCCATGCATAACAGCGACCCTGTATATTTGGAATAAAATTATATTTGTGCAATACTAATAATTGTAGATGCTTCTTTTATAAGACATTAATTTGAATGAAACATCCCTATACCCATTATTTTCAACATTATGAATGTTCTGCTAACAATCTAAAAACAAATTAAAGTTTGGATTTTCTGCAAATCTTTTTTGGAGATTCAAAATTGATTCTAGTAAATTGAATAGATTTCTTGTGTTTTGTTTTCGTTATGAAGGAGTTATTTTGGGAAACCATAACAGAGGGGTAGAAAGAAAAAAAATAAGGATAAATCGAACACACCCACAGAAAAGATGTAAAAAATTCCTTGGTACGAGTTTTTATTTAAATCTGTCCAGTTTAAAAATTTCCTAATAGTAGCAATAAAAATATACTTAAATTATAATATACAGAGAAGACCAGGCTACTAGTAACATAGCAAGTTGCCGGACGAATTTACGTTTACCCGTTTTGCGTTCGTACTCGAGATTCACTGCCGGCTAGTCGGCTGGTCAGGCAGTACGCAGTTGCAGTTGTGCCTGGACGGATCGGTCGTGACAGACTAGGAATACGACGCGAGGAGTGCCGAGTATTTATTATTTTTATTTTAAGTGTTTACCTTCACTTAAGGTAACATTTAAAATAAAAATACTTAAATATTTATTATTTGAGTGTGTTTACAAGCCAAAACTAAAAATAAATAAATTCTCTAAACCCCAAAAAAAAACTAAAATATTACTCTAAATAAAAAAAAGTTATAACAAGTGTTCAAAAAGACCATCTTCTTGTGCTAGACAGAAGCCTAGGCGGTCGTAAAATCCCCGTCTGACATTGGCTAACATATTAGGGCTAATAGTTTGGAAAGCCTCTCGTATTTTTACTTGAAGCTCATCCAGATTATTAGCCCTATTATGATCATACACTTTGGATTTTACATAACCCCACAAAAATAAATCGTTTGAAGAAAGATCTGGTGATCTAGCGGGCCACAAAATAGTTCCATATCCACTAATTAAACGGTTGGGAAAAGTATTGTTCAAATATTCTTGAACAATACGGGTATTGTGGGCAGGATAACCACCTCAGCAATTTGATTACTTGAAAACGTGTGATTTTGATCCGCGGTAGCACAAATGAACACTTGCTTTAACTCCTGTTCTTCATTAATCAACACATCAGGCTTTTTGTGTTTTTGTGGGAACACGTACCCGCATGTGTTTCAAAATTATTAATAACTCTTGATAGAGTAGGTAAAGATGGAATTGGCCTGTTTACAAAAGTTTGTGGAAAATTGTTTGTATATCCCGATAAGACCTATTTTGGAAATACCATTTTACAATTTGAATTTTCTCACGAACTTCGTAAACATCCATTATTTTACTTAAAAATTACATTTTACACGAGAACTGTCGCGAGAATCTATATATTCGTTTTGGCTATTAAAACAGGAATAAATACAAATTCTGAAACATTCTTATCACATATCTACCTATTTTTATTTTATCGCATTTTTTCGCCTGCTTTTTATCTGGCGGACGGGTATACGCTAATTCGTCCGGTTCTGCCTATGTTACTACTACGGTGGTCCGGTCTGTATATCTTTGCGCATATATTGAGAAAATAGAGCATTCTCAATATATTTATTATCATTTTTTAAAGATTTTTAGGTCTTATTTTTAATTTAGTAACTAATATTTTAGTAATTAATTGATTTATTTGTGTTATAGCTTATTTTACCTACTTATTACATATTGGCAAAAAAATATCTGTTACGATCATTTGCTCTATGAGTAAAATGAAGAGCTGCTCGGTATCTTAAATTATACAACCAATTTAAACATTTTTGCCAAAATTTCATATAGTCAGGTTTATAGACTTTAGTGTCAATGTCGATATGACTGATGACGTGCATTGGAAAATGTTTTGCGATTACAATACTTTAGGTTTGCACTAATACAAAATTTCTATATGTTTAATACAGGAGCTACAGATGCCCAACGCACTATCGCCGGACACTGTATGCCAATAACAAATGTTTCCCAAGTACACAAGTCGTCTAAAGAAATATCAATACATGCCAAAAAAACACTCAAATTTGATATAAATACGGAGACTTTTTGTTTCCCCATTTGAGCCTCGTCATTGGAATCTCGAAAACTCGAAAAGATACGGTAGATGTATGTATACAGAGTGGCGCCTCTCATGCGCCGCGGAAGCTCCAAGGAAAACGGTAGTTTTAAACTACTAGTTTATGTCGAAATGAAATTTCGGCAATATATGTAAGTTAACTGAAGGCATTTTATAAGAATATATAAAATTATACAGTGTCCCCAAAAAAAGTTACACTTCAAAGTTGTGTTTTTTTCTAATGGTTATTTCGGATTCTAAGAAAAAAATAAAGGTGAGTTTTATTGAAGAAGCATATACCTAAAATCTAAGGATTTTGACATATTTCACATTTTGAGAAAATGAATAGTAAATTTTAACCTTCGATAACAGGTACCTAAAATTTAGTTGATCCTGTATAGCATAATAATTAATTACAGTAACCATTGTATGTTCAACCAAATTAAAATTTGACTCAAAAAGTTATACAGGGTGAGACAAAATTAATATGGAACATTAGTCACTTATAAACTTAACGGTTACTCCGTTATTTTAAATGGAACACCCAGTATATTTTTCCGGTGTTCAATGGGGAATTTATATATCTTCAAAATATTATTATGGTTGTCTACCCCTCAGACAAAGATTTTTCCAGATATTTTAATTTTTATGATTTTGCGTCAGCGAATCTGTATTCTTTAAAAAAATCTAGGTGGCTGTGTGATATACCTTTTATTAATTTAACAAAAATTAAAGATTGTAGAGTAAAATACTCAAGGGCAATAAAAAAAAGATACACATTTAAAACATATTTTAATTATTACAGAATTAGAACTAGATTAGCTAGATGAAATGCTCAAAATGCTTCCTGTCCTGTTAACTGCATAAAATGATTGTCTTTTCAAAAGGATCTTATCATTTTAAAAGGCATATGTGGAGTTCTACCTCAAAGCTACAATAATTTCTCTCATGTTGTCGACACTAATTGGTCGAGTTTTGTAAACACTGTCTTTAACATATCCCCATAAAAAAACAGACTAGATAAAATCAGGAGCATTTAAGTATTCTGTTAATTGGTGAATGCACACTGCATTTACCAACTAATAGAATCATATCAGTTCTGTCAATAATAGAACAATGTTCTGAGAATTTTTTTTTTGTTTTAACTGACACAAAATGATAACTAGTTGTTAAATTTGGACTAATTAGACAGCTATGTTGAAGTAACGTCAGACATAATCACAGCCACCTAGATTTTATCAAATAATAAAGATCTACTCAGATCAAATCATGTAAAGGAAAATATCTAGGAAAATCTTTGTTTGAGGGGTAGGTAACCTTAATAGTATTTTGAAGAGACATGAATTCTCCATTAAATATTAGAGTAATATACTGCGTGTTGCATTTAAAATAAGGGAGTAACATGCTTTTAAAGATGACCAATCTTGAATATTAATTTTGTCTCACCCTGTATAAATTTTTGGATCAAGTTTTAATTTGATTTAAATTACAATATTTAATTTAACTACAAATTAGGTTATACCGGGTAAATTCCAGTTTAGGTAGCTTTTATTGTAATTTAAAAATTGTTCTTTATTTCTAGAAACTGTTAAATATATCAAAAGCTATAGTTATAAAAGTCACCTTTATTTTTCTCCCAGAATCCGAAAATCAATTAATATATAGGGAGTTCCATTACAAAAAACACAACTATAATATGTAACTTTTTTGGGGACACCCTGTAGAATTCTCTATATTTTTAAAAAGTGCTTTGACTTAACCTGAATATGCTCACAAAATTTCATTTCAATAAAAACTGTCGTTCTCCTTGGAGCCTCCGCGGCGTATCAAAGGCGCCACCCTGTACAATGTTGAGGTTCGATTTTGGACAACCTGTACATTACGAAACACATTCAAACACTTCTCAAATAAGTCATAATAAAACCATTCTTGTGTTCTTTGCGAATGTTCTAATTTATTCTTTATCTTTCTCAAGGGTACCATTTAAAAATGTTTAAATGCCAGAGATGATACCAATTCCAGAATTTCAATATTCCTGAATTTGGAGATTATCTCTAACACCCTAACCGATTTCAAATGCGTGCAAATAAATTCAGGGTTTTTCCATTTCTCATTCCTTTTATTTAGTGTCCTGGATCTGAATGACACGAAATACGAAAGAGTGGGAACGAGGAAGAGGGAAATTCAAATACTGCCACGAAAAAATATCGCTTAGGACCAATTTAAAAAGTTGACTTGAATGGAGCCCTTGATGAGGGTAGTAACTGGTGCGGATTAAAATTTCCTTATTTTGTGTGCAGGGTTGGACGAGTTTTTATTATTCTACCATTAGAGAAAAGAAATTTTTTATTTTATGCATATTTATGAAAATGGAATAGACGTTTACGGTGGTATACTCTGTTTTTTTTTCTCAGGTAAGATTTCGAAAGTTTAAAGTCGAAATTAAATTTTCTTTCGGCAATCTGTTATTTGGGGCGGAAACATGGAGGTTAACAGAGAATAACAAAAGAAAATTACTGGCGGTAGAAATGGACGCGATAAGGAGATCAGCACGAACATCAAGACTGGATAGAGTACGAAATGAAACAATCAAGGATAAAATGGGTAGACAAAAAACTATAGTAGAGGAAATAGAGAGTGCCCATCTGAAGTGGTATGTGAGAAGGATGGACAACACGCGACTGCCTCAGAAGGTACTAAACTGGCTTCCACAAAAGAGAAGGAAACAGGGAATACCAAGGACAAACTGGATGGAGGGTGTCAAGAAGGCGATGAGCTCAAGGGATTTGCGTGACGGAGACTGGAATGAACGAAATCAATGGCGATTAGGCATCGCACAACGTCGAAGAGCGTTTTAAAAGCGATTCTTATATATAAGATTTCGACAGACAATGACAAAACAAGCAGATGACGTCCATACCAATCTATTTATTTTACTAAAAAAAGTTTCTAATATTTTTTAAGTTAACTATGGATGGGTTTAAATATAAATCCGTCATACGTCGTCTCTTGTTGTTTTTAACCAGTTTTATTGGTTTATTTCAAAAATGACAGATCATATTTAAATTTTATTGGTTTGACGGAACGACGAACAACAAACGGACGCCGATGCGTATGAAATCGCCTTTAGATTTTTGAGGCTTGTCAAAGTCTTGCTAAATTATAGGTTATAATTTCGTGTCAACTTATATCAAATACTTGAAAATTTTGGAAGATGATGCATTTTGATTCGTGTTATTACGTGTGTTTTGTGTCTTTTGAAGTCAAGTGGAGGAAGAATCGAGGGAAAATTAACTGTAGACCCAGAGCACAGTTTATAGTTAATACTCGGTGCCCAGGCAGAAAGTCTTATACACAAATCAATAAATTACCATCAATAAAGTTTTTATACCATCGCGTCATAGCTAAGTGCATCTCGTATATGGTACAAGGATCGTACTAAACATATACTAAAAACACATCACACGATAGGTAAATAATGGATTTTAGTATTGCAGAAAAATAATGTCAAAAGGTACTGGTTTAAAAAAATTAAGATTAAAGTTAATTAATCTAGGTATAAAATTTAGTAAGTGTTATTATTAATAAAATAGTTTGTTTTATTTATGTTGTTTTATTTATTCCTGTGGAATATTACAAATTTGTATTTTTACATAAGTTATATTGATAAATATAATAATAAATGCAGGAAGTTTCTTGAAGCTTGAAAGTAAGAAATAGTTCTTTTTTGTATATTTTGGGTATGTGGCGTACAGTTTCTTTCACAATATTTTGACGTAATCAATTGTCACTCAAATTTTAAATATATTAATTTCCTACTATGAGTTCCAATTGTCCCAACTTATTTCTTTGCAAAGTAAAATAAATTACTTTGAAATTAAAATGACAGACACATCTATCACTGTTAAGGATCTTGTCGTTGGACAGACTATATCGTGAAAAAGAAACGTCATATTAGAAATTTAATTGCTCCACCTTGTAAAGAGAAGAAGTGACATGAGATATTTATTTTAAAATACATCTTAAAAATATACACAAAAAACTATTAAAAACGATTTTACAATATTTTCTTTTTATTTTGAACATCTTTGGAAATATTTGGATATTTTAAATTTGGGAACGACATTTTATTGCTGATAAAATTTCGCAGTTTGGCTAATTGATATTTTAAAAAATTCCGAATATTTCCGAATATATTGGGAAAAAAAAAGAAATTTTCAATTTTGTTTTCTATTGTTTCCTGGCTTTATTTGTTAAGATAACTTAAAATGAAAAACACATTTTCATGGCAACTCTTTCTGCTCTATAACTCTGCGTGATTAAATATTGACTCTGACGTTTTGGCTTCTGGCGACCATCATCAACTTAATTTTTTTAAATACGGACCTGATTTTTTTTTTTCAATTTAATTAAATGCTTTCATCACTCTTAAAATACTATATATAGTCACTCTGATATTTGCCGACGTTTCGTATAGAACATTCCATCACCAGAATATTTTATGCAAAAAAAAATAAAATGCAATACGGCATTTTATTGAGCATCAAATTGCGCAACTTTGCCTCCATTTAACCGATCCTGTATCTCTTACGGTTTCCGAAATCCCAATGATAAGCGTCGAATTCGAGCCACCCTGTACAACCATCGAGCCTTTTTCTTATGGTTTCAACTGAAACGTTCACACCTGTAGCTGTCAGAAGTTGTCTTTGTAGCTCTGAATGAGAAACATTTGGATTTATTCTAGCAATTTGACACACAACCTGCTCGATTTACAGAATTTATATTCTTAAATATAGTATAGTACCTAGAGAAATAGATGCACTGTGCAATATTGAAACTTTACAGGAAAATTTACAATAAGACTATAAAAGCCGCCAAGGATATCTATTACAATAGGAGGTTGACTGAGTCCGGTAATATTGCCAAAGAAACATGGTCGATTGTGAATGACTTGAGGAGTAAGGTTTCTTCGTCCAACATAACCTCAACTTCACCTGAGGACCTAAACAATTACTTTGTAAATGTGGCGAAGAATATAGTGAATACTATCTCACCCTCCCTTGATCCTCTATCATTTCTCTCTGACTATAATGTTAATTTGCACAGTTTGTTCCTTACGCCTGTGGGGTTGGCAGAGCTTCGCAATACATTAAATGATATTAAAAATAAGTCTTCAGCAGGGACTGACGGACTTACTCTTAAAATGTTCTCTAGTATGCCGGAATGTACATTAAACCATCTTTCAGCCTTAATTAATATGTCATTTGAAGATGGTGCTTTTCCAAATTGCCTTAAGTCGGCGATAATTATTCCTTTGCATAAAGGAGGTGATAAAGAGCAAGCTTCCAACTATCGTCCAATTGCACTCCTTCCCACGTTATCGAAGATCATGGAGAGACTGGTTAAAAAGAGGCTTGTATCATTTCTTCTAAAATACAAAATACTCACCCCCTTTCAGTTTGGGTTCTTGAGTAACAAATGTACAAATGACGCTATGTTTTCGCTGTTTAATAATGTATACTCCAGTCTGAACAACCGTCTCGTTACAGCAACAATTTTCTGTGATTTCTCGAAAGCTTTCGATTGTGTTAATCATAACATCCTAACTAACAAATTGCAGTACTATGGTATCAGGGGAACGCCTCTTGAATGGTTTAAGTCCTACCTTAACAACAGAAACCAGCGTGTGAGGGTTGATAAGACTGTGTCTTCTTGCAAGCCAATAGAATGCGGAGTACCTCAGGGCTCAGTGCTAGGTCCTATTTTGTTTCTGTTGTTTATCAACGATATTGCTAGTCTGGACATCAGTGGTAAAATCTGTCTCTTCGCGGATGATACTTGTTTCACATGGAGCAGCCCGGACACCACGGCACTTCATAGAACCATTTCCAGTGACTTAATCAACATAAAAACATGGTGCGATTCTAATTATCTGTGTCTCAACGTCTCTAAAACTAAAGTCTTATCATATAAAAGTACGTTGCTACCTTTTCAACTTGATAATACCACCATTGACGTCGTTGATTCTGTGAAATTTTTAGGCCTTGTTGTGGACAACTATTTAAAATGGGATTTGCACATCGATGCTTTAGCTAAAAAATTAAGTTCTGCCTGTTTCGCACTTAGATCAGTTGCTAATGTGCTTAATTTGTCAACATCTAGGACAGTCTATTATGCCCTTTATGAGTCGCATCTCCGATACGCACTTCCATTCTGGGGTGCGTGTTGTGCGACTCAATTTGAGCGTATCTTCAAATTACAAAAGAGAGCTGTGCGATATTCACTGAGGCTAACCAGTTGTGCTCACTGCCGGGACTTGTTTAGAAGATATAAAATATTAACTCTTCCTTCCCTATTCATACTCGAATCCGTCTGCCTAGTTCGCAAGCACGTATCGAGTATTTCTCTAGAGCCAGTTCATGGCTATCCAATTAGGAACGCAGAGCATAACATGTATCTGCCAACCCCTCACTCTGAGTTAGTAAAGAGTTCCCAATTGTACAATGCAAAAAAAAATGCACTATCATCTGCCATCTGAAATTAATTCCATTTCATCCTTTCCTGCATTTCGCAGAGCCTTGAGATCATACTTACTGGAGAAAGCCTTTTCGCGGTTAACGATTTTTTTATTAATATCTAGGGTTCTAAATTTAACACACATTCACTAAATTTAAGAAATGATTTTGTTTTCTATCCATTTAAATTTAGTATTGACATTATATACAGTTGTTTATTTACATGTATGTTTATATTTTATTTATATTTAATTAAATAAATTTTTGACAATGTACATTTTCTATAATTGTATAAAGTATTGTTTTAGTTTTGTATGTTTGCTGTTAGTTTTATATGTTTTTCTATTGTTAAGTGAAGTTTTGTATGTTTTTTATATTCTTTTTTTTTAAGCTTTGTCAACAAAATTGTAAATTTTTTTATGACAATAAAGCAATTTCTTTCTTTCTTTCTTTCTTTCTTATTAGTAAAGAATATGGCTTGGAACTAAACAAACGGAAATCCAAGACGATGATTGTTGACTGCCTCCACAACAACCAACGTGATGTCCGAGCCGTGGCTAGATACGAGGTTGTGAGCCAGTTCAACTATTTAAGTTCCATGATAGCAAACTCTGGAGGATACGAGGCTGAAATAAGGCGCAGAGTGGCAATAGCGAGGAATGTAACAACAAAGCTTACTAAGATATGGAAGACTTCAGTAATCAGAAGGAAAACTAAACTGCGCCTTGCGAACTCCCTCATTTTCCCCATAGCTATGTATGGCTCTGAAACATGGACACTAAAGGAAAGTGATAAGCAAGGAATAAACGCCTTGTAGATGTGGGTATATCGACGGATGTTGCGAATAATATGGACGGCTCATCGGAACAAACATTTCTATTATCGGAGAACTAAAAATTGAGACACGTCTGTTTACCAAATTAAATCAGTGAATCCTCAGATTTTTTGACCATAGTGTCAGGAGTGGCATCTCGATTGAGAGACGGTGGAGAGGTGGTGGTAGAGGGAAGACGATCACGTGGAAGGTCACCTAAGAGGTGGGTAGACCCAAAGTACATAAACCATGTTATGCTCATTTGTCGTTTCAAATTGGTTCATTTCTGCGCATGACGTCAAATTCGAATCAAATCCATGACAGCTGCATTTGATCTAATAGTTTTTATCGTGGTTTTATGGTAATTTGCTTGTTTTTATATAGCGAGTTTTGTTAGTATTTTCCGTAATTCAGTTTCTAGTAATTAGTACGATTGATTTTAGGTGGCTAGACTAGATATTAATTTGTTTTAAAAGCCTAAAATGCCTGGGTGTACGGTGGCTACTTGCAACAACACTAATCGGAAAAC